AATTTCAGGTCCGAGCAAGGCAACTGGAATGGAGTTCGATCAGACTGTCGACGAATCCTTTCACTATGGATGCCTGGGGCGTCACATACGGTCACGGTGTCATCCGACACCTACCGTATACGCTTTTCTCTAGCATGGCGAGAAGGCTTGACTCTTGGAATTTCCCATAAGCAGGAAAGATGCTGGAAGGCTGCCAGATTTTCTAGTTAACAAGGGACCTGAAATTGAATCAAATGACGACGATCTAGACGTACAAATTGAAAAGCAGGAGGGGACTTATAAATTCTAACAAGGACAACATGGAACCAAATTTCAAATTAAAAAATGAATGCCAATTACACTAAATGCAAATTTTAAAATATAAGCATAAGTCATCCAAATGAATACCAACATATAAGCAAGGAACTTGTGATAAATCTCAAACGAACATCTCTGAGCAACTACAAGTAATGACTGGTGGTGAATAAAATTCCTACATTTCACCTACAAGCAAACAAATGATGCAAGCATATAATATTGATTGCAAGTAATGCTACAAAGCTCTTAGCTCATCCATGAATCAAATTCAAGCTAGATGTGCTTGCAAAATGGATAGAGTTAATTGAAATGAATGAACAAAGAGGTGTCAATTTACTTACAAGCAGCGGTGCGAACCTCAAAGAACATGGCAACTACATCAATTGATATACAAATAAACAAGTAATCTAAGTAAATGTACACAGTGCAACCTGTAATGATATGTTGCACTGCAATGATATGTTTAATGCATCCAATGATACATGCAACTTACAAACAAATGAAATAATTGCGAAGGCATCTCCATAATCAATACGCAAATTATTAACAAACATCAAGTAGCATGCAGTGATGGTTGCGATATCCCTACGGTCGATGCGGTTCGCTTGTAGACAAATAGTACCATTCCCTGTGAGCTGCGATGATCGATGGAACTATTTGTGAATAACAACAGTGGATATATAACAAGTACGGTAAATACCATGTGGACACAAGTGCATGTATTCTCCACAAGCAAGGATAGAAAGCTACACCGATGCAAATGCCTACTGGCGATGGAGAAAGATTTGTTGCATACACAATGACATACCTACGGATGATAACCATCAATAGATAGTGACATAAGATTAATATACAATGAACATATTAGCTCATCCGCAAAACAGTGAAACTTCCTACAGACGCACACAAAGCAGCATATAATGAAAGAAAACACCTACGGACTATGATATTATATATGCAAAGCTTATAATAAGCTTCCCATAGTCAACACCAATTTGCAAGCGAATACACCAAACCTCTACAAGTCTTGGTGAGCAGCATGCAATGATTGCAAAGATGCTCTCATGATCAACATGTAAGAAGAGATTGATGACAAATGCAAGCTCCTACGGGTTGGCGGTTGCTATAGGAGACTTGCTATACGCACCATGTATCATCTTTAAACGGAAACGAGAGACATGCAGCATCTGCAAGCAATAGAAGGAGGTTTTTTAGTGCACGACAACCTACATGCCTAAAGCAGCAAATGAAACTCAACTAGTGATGCCACGCAATTGGATCCGCAACATGTATACAAACGGACAAAAGGCATTTACGGGCTTCTACATATAGCGTTGTGCACACCCAAATGCTCATCATTCACACAGCTGACCGCACGAAACATAAAAAATGCCCCCACACATACATTGCAACATGTATATACACAAATGCTGAAATACATATGCAAGTGCATTAATATTCAAATGAAAGTATAAATATATATGCAAGTATGCAAACATAATATAAGAAAATACATATGTAATCGTACATCTGCATGGGCCCCGACGAGCGTGATGCATATACACATGTAATGTCTGAGGATGCTATGCGGGTCAAATGATAAATCTAAGCTATAGCGCGATCCTTCTATGCTAGTAGACAGGAGTCAACATGGCTCGAATTATCAAACAAATATACGCTCATGGTGCCGACAGAGATATTTATTCTCTACATTCATATTAGGCCTTCAAGGCCTATAACAAAGAAGATTCATTGAAAAGGCACAAAGCTTACTACGAACCCAATTATCCGTCAGCAATTAGACATAGTCGACAAGGTTTAACATATAATTATAAAAATGCCTCTAAATACCCGTATGGGCTCCGATGAGCGTGTTGTATTTACACACGTGACATTGAAGATGTTGTGCGGGTCAACAAATAAACTTAAGTTCAAGTCAATCATTCTTCTTGATAGGATGGGAGTCAACATGACTTGAACCAATCAATAAATATATGATCACGACATCGACCAAAATATTTAGTTTAATACGTTCATATTAGATTTTTAAGGCCTATAACCAAGAAAATTCACCAACAAAGATAAAAATCCTACTATGAACTCAATCCTCTGTGAGTAATTATAGAGAGTTAATAAGGTTCAACAGATAGTTACAAAATTGCCCCCTTAAATACTCACCCCTGCGAGCATATTATGGGTACACACGTGACGTTTGAGGATGTTATGTGAAATAGAATTGAAATCTAAATATTACGGGAACAAAATAACATAAAATATAAGAATTGCATAAAAGTATCATATAACATCAAGTTCAGCTCTAATTTTTTTCTTTCTCAGTTGCATATTCATCTACATTTAATTCTTAAAGAAAGCTGAAATAATTGGCGACGATTCAGAAATCATTTGTATTATCTTTACTAAGGGGATTTTTATTTGAGTCTATTGTCATAACAAATTGGTCACTTCCATGTCTCATCCTATATGGTCTAATGCCTCTCAATTTGCTTCTTCTTCATTTATCTTAATTATATTCATATTTCATAAATGTTTGTCATCAACATAAAGATAATACTCCAAAATTTTAAGAGGAAGATGGTGGTGGTGTGCGGCTTTCTGATGATCCCCTGCAGCGGTTGCAACAGTGATGACTACGGTGAAGACGATGGGTTAGAAGTTGAGGCAATTAAGAGGAAGTTGCTGCGGCTTGGAGGTGCAAGGCATGATTTTTTTGGGTGCTTTTGTATAGGATTTTTTTGGGTGCTTTTGCATACGCCTCATTCCAGTGAGACGAGGCACGACTTAAGGCGGGCCTCATCTAAAAGGAGGCGTAAGTCTCATAAAAAAGTTTGAGGCGTAAGCCTCAAGACATTTTTCATTGGAATTGCGTTGTGGCGGGCCTCATATTATGCAATTTTAAATAATGGTTTGAACGGATGATTCCATGTGGTTAACGATTATGACAGTAACCCTCTGATCTAATTGTTTGGTCCAACAACTCTACTGTATTGCGGTTATGATCATAGCCCGTATGCTCCCCAATGATGTCAAATCCTTGAGATATGAATCAATAGGATATGATGTTTAGGGCACAAAGTCCTCTGTCAGCTAAGGTTGATTCAAATTTATCTCCTTAGACAAATATTCACCCTAAGTCTATAAGGTACCCTTGGACGAAGCAACTAATGGATGCTGACAAGGATTCTTCTATCAGGTTGGGTCGACTATCTCCTTTGACTAAGTAGACTAGGGACCATGATGACCCGGGACGACGGAATGATGAGATCTTGATCGGGTCAATCATCTTTCCCCCACCATCCGCCTTAATTGCAAGATGGTGAAATTTTTAATTTTAAATATTAAATTTCCAAATACCAAATCATGTTGTTACTATACACTAGATACTACGTAACTCTACGTATTTGTTTGATGACTAGTCTTAATCAAAAGTTCTCTCTCGTTATTTTTTTTGGGGGGGGGGGGTAATTAACTATAGGGGCTTGCTTCTATAGAAAACTTGAACTCAGATCTAAAATCCTCGCAAAATGAGGGCGAAATCTCTGGGTAGTGTGTTATTTCAAACCCAGTCTGTCTTCTGAAAATTTACCTTGGAACTTAACTTGTTAAAACTCTCTCGAAATAGAGGGGGCCGGGGCACGAATTTTCGGAGCCCATTTCTTTATTACCCGGGTGGGACCGAGAGAAAGAAAGGATGGGGGGCAACCATGCATGGCACTTCTGGACCGTGTCTCCTAGGGACAGTGAACGAGCGACTCATGAAAGCAGCTGGGTCGGACGACCCAATAACTCGAACGTGTTCTATCAGTTTTTTGAGCAAGAATCACAGCGTGACCTTACCTTCACCATGATACGAACTCCAAGTTCTTATGGCAGAGCACGAGGAGTTTCCTTCAAGATGATGATGGGAATGGAAACTAGAATCATTTAATAATAGTCAGTGAAGTCTGAGACTAAAGTGAGCATTTAATAATAGTCGGGGGCCTATTTTGAGCTTTTACTCTTAAACCTAAACCCTCTTCATGTAAACCTAAAAGCCCTTGAACCTTCAACAAAGCAAAAAACTAGTAGCTCACACTCATGAGTCATGAGCATTGAAATACTCTATAAACTCAGTGATGCACACACATCATTGAACTTGTGCAGTCTACATGTTTCATGACATAGCAAAGTTTAGGGGCTTTACATCAAATAGCTTCGCTCCAAAAGCTTGTTTCGAAGTGTGCTATTAGCAACATTAGTTTTTCATTAGCAAAATATCAAATTGTTATCTTTCACATACAAACATTCATCTTCCTTGTATTCTCTTCAAACTTTCTATCCTTATGGAAAAATATAAGAAAACACAAACATTCTTCTTCCTCGTGTTCTCTCTAAACTTTTGATCCATATGGAGAAAGATAAGAACTCACATACACAGGGATATCCTTGAAAAGGACCGTACAGAAGGACCTATTTTTGTCTTAATCAAGATATTCCTCTTTCTCGTATTCTCTCTAGACTTTGTATCCTTGTGAAAAAAGATAGTAATGCACGCACAAAGATAACCCTTACAAACGACCAGACACATAGATAACCCTCATGAATGACCACGCATACATAACCCTTATGCATGACCTATTTTTTGTCTTAAACAAGATATTCCACTTCTTCATATTCTCTTTAAACTTTATGTCCTTATGTAAAAAGATAGGAACACGCACAAATAACCCTTATGAAGGACCTATTTTTGTTTTAAACAGGACATATCTCTTCCTGAAGTTCTCCCTAAACTTTTTATCCTAATGGATAAGATAGGAATGCTTGAATAAAACTAAGTTAGATCTGGATGGCTATCAAGTCCTTGGGGCAAAATTATACGCTCCTCTATATGCTTTCTATTTGTTAGCCATTTGTATCTATTATAATTCTCTTTCTATTATGTTACCTCTTACCTCTACATGGAATTTTAGGGCATCGTGTTGGACTTGTAAAAGCTAAATAGAGAAGAAAGTTATGGAGTTCCCCCAATTTGATGGATCCTAAAAATTGACAGTTGCAAATCTGAAACTTGCGTCTGTATCCATAGCTACCTGGCTATTGAACTAAGTAAATCAGACGACAGATGTATTGTTGCAAGACTGGCATAGGATTTATATGGTCTCTTTTCAACAGATTTGCTTATTAAAAATATGACATATCAAGAACTTGCTTTATGACAGAATATATGAAGAGCATGGGTAATACTTGTAGAGTAGCTTGTTAATCTTTGTGAGATTAGCTGTAACAAAACAAAAATTAATAAAATGAGTTTCCTGGTTCACTTCATAGGAAAAATTTTTATTGGCATTTACCTTCAGCATTTCTTGTGTGCTGGCAAAAATATGGCATATACAAGACTGCTATTCTTGCTCGAAGTATTCACACTAGTCAGCCATGGTTGCTGAAATATTAATTCTAGAAAATTTTAATTATAATTTCCTTCAAATAATATGGACTTGATTTTAGTTTACAAGTGCATTGTTATTCATTCAATATAAAGTTCCTTCAAATAATCGTTCCTCTTGCATTCCTGTTAAATCCTTAAGAAGTGGAGCTTTTTCATGCCTGCTGTTGTAGCTTCAGTTTATCTTCGGAGATTTGCTTGTTTTAACTATAGTCTTATTTTGCAATATTTCGATTCATTTCTTGAAATTTATGTACATAGGATGTATAATTTTGCATGCATGTATGAACCTATATTCTTTATTTCTAATTTATTGGAGTCATTTTTGCTTGATTTCAAGTGAAGATCTTCATGTTTCTTCAGAGAAAAGATATATTTCAAGATCTAGCTCCATTATTGTGGAATTCTTTTGAAACAATTACAACAATTTTGCAGGTATGTTTTTATTTTTTTATCTTATTTTGTTATACTTTAAACCCGAAACATAAAATCCAATTAAAATGGTTTTTATCATTTGGTTAACTTCTTAAAACTACTGTTTGGGTCCATACATCTGTCCTCCACTTGCTTGTTTAAGTTCATGTTCTATGGAATGATTTCATAGATTATGTTGCAGCATTGTTTGCATTATCCATGTTTAGAACAATGAGATTTAAGTGTTTAGAATTACAAATAATAAATTGAATTCACCTTATCCTGAAATGGTTGTGGAAATATTTTTTATTATTCATTTACTCATTTTTATCAAGGAGGTGACATGAATTCGCCTAAAATAATAGGTGTCCTTTGACTTTAATGCACACCCAACAACAACAACAACTAGCCTTTTATCCCACTACGTGAGGTTGGCTACATGAATTCTTTTTCTCTATTGTGTCCTATTAAGAGTCAAATTCACATTTAAATCTAATAAAAAAATCATTTTAATACTTTCTAACCAAATTGTCACGACCCGGCCTAGTGAGCTCGTATAAATGAGGCGGGAACGAGCGTCGAACATAAATTTAAAATATAACTTCAATAACATTATATAACATGAAACATCTAAATCTGGAACATTCAACATTTGATCAAGCGCCATTAAAACTTTTAAAATTTTCAAAACTTTTCATATATATATCAAAAGAGATTTACAAAGGTGGATTGTAAAGTCAACATATGAAATCCACCTCAAAAATGTTTAACATCAAGATAAAAACACCAAAGAACCTGTCATCCGATAATTCTCTACGACTGTAAGTAAAGCACGGTCTCTCAGTCATCACTTAGCAGCAAGATCTCCTAAAAATTATCCAAAAACTAGAGAATGAGGTAACAATTTGTAGGTAATAATTAATTCTACCAAACTCAAATACAATGAAAAGATATCAATATGCATGCTTGATGTGAACTAAAGACTTGAAATTGAAGCACTAGTCAATATAATATCATGCTTAATTTGACTTGTACCTATCTATATAACTTTTTTATGTAACAAATGCTCTTAGATGACATAGATTTCTTAGTGTCATATGCTTTTTTACTCTATCTTTCAATATATAGATATCATATACATCCATACCGGAATACCCAAGTTGTACTGATTAGGTACAAATTCATATTGGCCATACATCTTGCTTTTTATTATTTTGCTCCAAAGAGCCATCTTGCCCCGAAGAACTATATTGTGTTAATGCACTGTATTGATACTCCGCCTCAAAATGCACAAGTCCGCATACCATTTCAATATCATATTATATGTGATTGACATATCAAACATTCATATGTTTCAATCCAACAGATGCACTTTACTTTACCATCATATGTAAGACTAGATGCAACATATCTAGGACTTTATGAAGAGCTTTCTAAATATGTAAGCATGTGTAAGACTTTATGAAGAGCTTTCTAATTTTCTAAACGTGTAAGTATATGTAAAGCATATATAAAATTCTATCCAACATATGCATATTTTATAAATACATTTAACATCTTAAAAGAGCATAAAGAAAATGAACTTGGAGAGTTAATTGTCACTTACCTCGATAAGCAAATTTATACTTGGCGAACCTTCTCGGACCAACACCTCTCCTATAACTAACACCTAGGATAATAAACACTTGATTACTAACTCATAATACAATGCATTTCTAATTAATCAAACTTTAAAATTTTTTATAAACGGTTAACTTAAAATAATATACTTCTAAGTAGTCTAAACTCTTAGCATAAAACATTCTAATATTCACTCATTACCATTACATACATGTTATTAACCTAGATTCTTAATTCGTTTTAACATTATCCTAATTTAGAATTGTCATTATAATATAATTATTTTCAGATTTAATTTAATTCTAATTTTTGTAAAGTCCAAATCCCAGATTTATCCTTTCTATTTACTTTATACTTAAGTAATTTAATTTAAATTGACATGAAATTCGATTTTGTTTTAAAATCCTATATTTGGAATTCAAATTTTCTTTATTTCCATCACATAATCATTCTAAAACTTCATCTTTACCTAATTAATAATATGGGCATAAAATTTTTTAGAATTTCTTTAATAAAAATTTAGGAAAATAGAAACTTTCATCAAACCCTAAATTTTCCTATAAAAAATCATTCCTAAGACTATTAACAATCAGAGTTGTTAAGAACTTATCAAAGAAATCAACATTTGGAAAAAAACCCTAATTTTACTTAAAAATTTTGGGAAAAATTACATTTTCATGCTTAAAAATTACTTTTAGATCTTCCTAAATACTTTCCATTAAAAAAAACAAAGTTTGCCTAAAACCCTAATTTTTTCATGGTTAGAAACTTCCCATAATCTTTCCTTATCCTTCTCCTTTTAAAATCTTGAGTTTTGAGTAAACCCTAGAATCTTTTACTATGAAAAATTTAAGGAAAAATCAAGGAGAAAGTCATTTAAAAACTCACATTCTTCCTTCCCAATGCTCTCCTTTTTATTTTCTCTAAAAGCCGCCGCCGGAAAACCGGCCGAATAGCATCGTTCGTACGCCACCCGTCGCCCTTCCTCCCTCTCTTTGGCGTGCGGCCGAAAAGAATAAGAGGGAGGCTTAAGAGGCCTTATAGAATTATTTAGGTCACTTTTACGCATGTGCCCTTGCCCCCTAAGCATGCTTTCATAACCATGAAGGGTATTTAAGTAAATTTTCATATTAATAATCCTTCAGCGATTTTTAATTTCAATTTCGTGCAAAATTTACTATAAGTCTTTTATACTGTTTTAATCAAAATTTTGCGTAAAATTTTACAAAATTAATTGAGTCTAATTCCGACGACTTTGAAAATTTGTCTAATTTTGTTGCGATGCATCGAAATGCGTGCGACACTTGCGATAGACATTTCTCGGGTTTTACACAAATCTTTTTAGGTCTACTTCTACTTTCTTAATATATATATCGGATCTAATATCTCTACTCTCTTAACAAGGTTATCGGAAGGCCGATGTTTTATGTGACCATACTATATATGGTGAATTTCTCTAGTCTTATTTTTCACTGGAGCTACTGTAACACCTTACAATACTCTTTAACAGTATTATAGAGTATCACATGTATTGTAGAGGTGACATAATATTTTTTGTTAAAAAATATTAGAAATGATCTTTCTTTATTAAATTTAAATGAGAATTTGACTTTTAACTGGGCACTATGTCAAAAAAGGATTCATATAGCCGACCCCACGTAGTGGGGCAAAGGCTTGATTTGTTGTTGTTGTATCTATTATATGATACTTTTTCATTTTTTGGAAATTAATATAAAACATCCAATAATATTTCATTTACTACATAAACAGAAATATCTAATAACTCCAAATTACATCAAATACATACAAAGTCATTAATAAAAATCTCAAATAGTATCAAATGAACTGCCTATATACCTAAGCTGTAGACTTACAAACATAGCTAAACCCTAGCATATAAATGAAATAACATTGCAACTTATTCTGCAATGATATTTTCCTTTCCTTTATCTGTAATAACAGACAGTATGAAATAACTAGTGAGTTATGAGGCTCAATAAGTTATGCAAAAATCAATAGCAGTTAAATTGTATGATTATAAAACCTAAATGATTGAAATCATAAATTAAATAAACTTGATAAAACATCATAAACTGATATTTGACTTTAACATTTACTTCATTTGAAGTCTATACTGAATATCAATATTAGTATTTTAAAAATTTGGCTAAAATTTTATTAGCATATTCAATGGAGCCTAGATAAACTTGGTATTATCTCCCTTGAAAATATAGAGGCCCATTTTGCCTTTTTAGGGGTCACTTTTGCCCCACCTGCATTACAGGTATCATTTCTTTGGGGTCCTTTTTACCTCACTTAAAATGCAGTTTCAAACATGGGGACCCTTTTGTCTCACCTGTATTGGTAAGTTGTACATCACTTTATAGTCAAACTTTACTTAAATTGATATTCATTAAACTTCACATATTCATAATTCATATTTGTATTGTTGCATGCTTTCATAATAATTTTTGTTATAATCTGTATACAAAGAATATGCATATCATATATAAGGAAATATATCTCTTTCTAAAATAGTATCAATTTGAAAAACATTTAAATGAATATAAACAATTTTATTTTAAACTCACATGATCAATTTATATAAGTGGTTATTTATACTTGAAAACTTGGATGTATAATCCTTTTTTAGACATTAAACAACTTAATATCATTTTTCCCTTTAATGTATTCAAAATTAGCTCTCCATGCTTATAAATGAACTAATTATATTTTTAAGATCATTGGATTACCTACTTCCTTGCCAAGGTATCTTCTCTAATTTTCAATTTCGTACTCTTATACGATTGTAAATTACCTACAAGTCATATCTCTAATTCTATAAATACTAAAATTTATCACTCAAATAAATTGCATAAAAATCAATTTATACTAATATAAGTATATAACCATTTTACCTCGAAATCAGATTCCCTCCTCATATACACGATAAATTCCTACAATACGATTGGATTATCATCTTTAAAAATTTTACTGAATGACAAACATTGAAATTTCTTTCCTCCTACTTTATATTACTCTTTTTCTTCTACTCTTTCTTTCTACTATTCTCATATGGCAAATCCAATACAAGATCTTTGTTTTGACAACACTGATCCCATTGCAATGAGCCGTTTCTTGATTTTTAATGTGCCGATTCTCCCTACAGGAATTTCTGTATTTTACCAAATTCTTCTACAGGATATTCTGAACTGTGCCAAAACCTGCACAATGGCCGAACACTGCTACAGTGTTTTCTTCTCCATTCTATGCGTTGTTTTCTTCAGAACAGAGCACTGTGCCGCTTCTCTACAGTCCCGTAATTACTGCTTGTTTGCGTGTATCACGGATAAACTAGGAAATAGATAAGAACCATTTAATAACTGCTCGTCATAGCTTCACATCCCTTAGTAAGCAGCTATTCAGAAATTAAGATAATATGTACTTGTAATTAACATATTAATTGATATAATTTTTAATTCTAATTTAACACTAAACTTTTATTATATTTACTATGATTTTTTGAGTATTGCAGCTACACCAACCTTTTCACTTATATATTGTTTAGCATTCTATCTCTAAGTGTAAAGCCACTCATCCAACTGAGCATCCTCAAATCTACAACACTTAACTTAATTTTTTGCTTCTCTTTTAACGACCAACATTCTATGACGTAAATCATTGCAGGTCTCACCACCATCTTATAAAATTTTCCCTTAAGTTTGAGGGGTACTTTGCTATCACACAATAGGCTTGATGCATTCCTCCACTTTAACCATCCAACTTGAATTCTACTAATAATATTCTCATCTATTTCAGCATCACTTTGAACAATGGACTTGAGATATCTAAAACGTGCCCTCTTTTTAACGACTTGATCACCTAATTTCACAATTTCATAGCTAGATCCAATACTACAAAAATTACACTCCATCTAAGACTAACCTTCATAATTCAAGTTTTTCATCAACTATCTCTAGTCTTATCAACAAGAAGAATATCATCAGCAAAAAGCTTACAGTAAGGTACATTATTTTACAAATGTCTTGTAAGAACATCCATAACTAAAGCAAAAAAGATACGGGCTTAAAGCTTATCATTGATGTAATCTAACTAAAATTGGAAAATACATGGTCAAACCATTTTGTGTTTAATCACTAGTAATAGCTCATGTGTATATATATATCTCCTTAATGACTTGAATATAATTATTATCAACTCATTTCTTTTATAGCACTATTTATAACATTTCTCTTTGAACTTTATTGTATGTTTTCTCTAAATCAATAAATATCATGTGTAGATCATCTGCACTTCTTTATCAAACCTCTCAGCAATTGTATAACATTCATAGTACACCTACTCGGCATGAATCCAAATTGATTTTGAGAAATGTTAATATAACATCATAACTTATGCTCAACTATTCTCTCCCATAACTTTAATGTATGACACATAAATTTAATTCTTCTATAATTTGTATACTATTGTGTATCACCCTTATTCTTAAAAATAAGAATCAACACACTCTTTCTTCGCTCATATCATTATATATTTATATGATATCTTTTGTAATTAAAATAATTTTAAAGAGTTTAGTAAGCCAAAAAAATTCCTTGATCTCTTAAACATTTCCACATTTCTATTGAAATATCTTCCCGTCCTACTGTTTTTTCACACTTGATTTTCTTTAAAGCATCTTGAACTTTGATTTTACTAATACGATGATAAAAATAATTTTTTTTTTTCATTTAGGGTATTTAGGCCAATAAAGTCAATTGTATTCTTACAACATTCATTGAAATGTTTATCGAAGTATTTCATCCATATGTATTCTTCTCAAAAAAATTTTTTTGATCTTCATCCTAATGAACTTCAGTTGAACTAAATTTTTTACTTATTCTATTATTTTTCTAGGCCAACTTATACATATATCTTTCACCCTGCTTTATATTTAATTTATTATATAAATGATTAAAAATTATTATTTTTGAATCACATATTATTTCTTAGACTTCCTATTGGCCCCTTTATATCTATCACATTTT